AAGTAAACGAGGAACAACAAAAGCTCTTCAAAGAGGTCTAGAAGCTTAGATAGTATCCCTCCCACTGGAGCATGACTTGAGCAGCACGTCAAAAGAGCAGTGTTTCAAGAAGGCTACGTATGGGGCCAAACCCTCCTTTGTCATGAGGTGCTTCAACAACTTATGGTCACCATTCTGGAAAGCTCTACTGCAAGCAAAGGAATCTTGTCACGAACTCATTCGATGTGGATGCAGAGCTTCATGTAGAGGAGGATGCTACTGCCTAAAAGCTAATTTGGCATGCACTGGTTTGTGTCACTGTGGCGGCAACTGCCGACAGCCATAAATATTTACAACGATGTCTCTAACCACTAGAGTAGAACGACTAAGAATTAGGCATCACATCAATTGCTTGTTGAATTTTGGTTAGATAGGAGAACACTGTAGGATTTCACCTAAGGCGCCGCTCAGTGAAGTGTAGCTGAACAATTTACCACACGTATCCCAAATCTGTTAACCAAAGCTTGTTTATAACAGCTGATTAATTTTACTAAAGTAACGGAAGAGAATGTCAAATCAACCAAAGACATAAGCTTTACGTTTCTAAGGTACACAATTTTTACCTATCGTGATTCAGAATATAACGTAAACACGTATATTACACGTTTAACCATAGGGAACCCACACATTATGAAAAATATCATAGAGGAAAATCACGTAATGGCATACGATGAATACGAATGGACAGAAAATGACTCGGTTGTTATGTTTGAAGGCTTTTGTCGCAAATTTCCCCAAGAAATGTGGTTAAAGAGGATTTTTTTAATTCTTAGCCTCGTTTCCATGTTAGCGAATGACATGCGTGGTTCTCGTCATCAGAAGTTAATTTGGATTGGCCCCATATCAGAAAATATTAGTCTTAGGGTCGTAAGTGTTGTGGTAAAGTTTCAAAGTTTATCATTGATTTGAACAATTCAGCGTTTTTTTGGTCGATAATAGCTGGACTTTAAGTCACTCTACTAAAAGTGGGACGGGAACGTGAGGACTGGGACTCGGGTTCGTAAGACTCGGGGACGTGGGGACTCGGAGAGACTCGGGGGCGTGATGAACAAACCTGATTTGGTGCTGAATTTGTAAAGTATAATGTTCGGTGGTCTGGAGAAAGGTGTAATATGCTGGAAAGCTTTTCAGTAGTAGCCGATGATTTCCAACGTCCATGGTTCGGCCGGATGTGTTTGCTTTCCTGTTTGACCGTGAGAATCCTGGGTACAGAATAGTGGATAGGGGATTTAAACATTGTGGGCAGCCATGGAGGACTTTCCTGATAAGTAACCGTGTTTTCGTATTTATTCTTTTAACATCCGTGCCTTATCCTTGCTAATTTCGTCGCTGCTGTTTACCTCAGGAAAACCGTTGTCCGAAAATGTATATTTTTTTCATTTCATTCCTAGAATGTGCATATAATTATCGTAATGATCTCGAGCTGGAAAGTGATTGGGAACCGGAGAAATGTACATGTGGAGAATCCGACGATAGGTACATAAATTACTCTATATAGCTTTCACATTTCATTAGGAATTGAAATTGATCGTTATTACTAAAGCTAATGGAGCATTATTGATTACGATGTGCACTATTTGTTTATGAATTCAATAAATCTACGATCTCAACACTTACCGGGGTGACATTTGTTCATTCTCATTTGAATTGAAACCAACAGGAATGCTTTGCAGGAGACTAGTCTCACAAGGCTTAAAACAACATTAAATCACTAAGTTGTGCATGCCAGCTAAAAACACAATTTCCAACTTAAACCAGATTTTTATACTAATGACTTTGTGTTCTGTCCATTGACCTTAACACCATTTTCTAACCTTTCTGAGTGAGTAGAGCTCGACATTAAGTATAACGTTATCCCCTTCCGCCAACGGCAAAAATTCCACTTCAGTCATCAGGCATTTGGAAAACGAAAATAAGAGGCTTCGTCCTTGTCGTAAAGGTGTCATTTTCTCCCTACTTTTCAGAGAATTATTGAAGAATTAAATGTCAAAGTAACGAAGTCAACGACAAGAAACGCTCGCCGCCGTGAAACGTCATGCTAAAAATTTCTCTATTATCGGTCACTGTTGGCAATGCATGAATTAACAGGAAAAAGTCACATCTTATGATATGATAATGATAAATGTAACAGAAAACACATTTATACGACTTTTGTTTTAGTAACGATAGTTGTACCTTTCTTATCATATTAATTGAAGGGTATAATGGCTGGTTTTTTTACCGTTAAAATACCAAGTGCGCTGCCAAAACCTGCGACTGTCATACCCAAAGTTAATTCCGTTTAAATGCAGCTGAAAAAGTACAACTTAACTGCAACATTTCGCATAAACTGAACGTGAAGATTAAATTTCAGAACAAGTGGAAGTAACATTTCACCAGCTTGCCATATTTAGAAATGTCAACAAAATACTTGAGCTGTGGCCATGGTGATGGCGTTGTCGCATAGGACACAACGGATGGAGCACGCAGCACCTATATAACAGTAATTCAGCCTACATAGCAATGTAGAGTTAATTGAATGCCTTGAACGGCTAATATTACGGAATCTCTTATTGTTCTCATGGATAATAAAGCAAAAACCGTAGCAAAACGTAAAGTTATGAAAAAGAATAATATACCTTGGCAGAAAAGATGGATATTTTGGTTATGGAAAGGGGGCTTAAATGCCAGTGGTTGACCTTGACAGGTTCAAAAGATATTAAGAGGACACCAAGTGAATGCAAACATATACAGCAGCCCAACATTTGTGCTTGTGCCAGAGACCTAATTACAATTATTCCTTTTGTGTTATTTTCCGATAATTATTGATTGAGCTTGTTTCACCATAACGACACTGATCGAATACACTGGATATTAATTTTCTGGCGAAATGTTCAGCTGGTGATACAGAAAGTCTTTGTGCGCATTGGTCAGGCGTCCCCTGACAATGGGATTGATTTGTAATTTTGAACTATTAAAACTAGCACTATCAGTACTATTTCCCTTTCTGACACAAGCTAAATTTACATGAAAGTAAACACCCTGTTCCTTCCCTACTCTCAGAATTCCTGTTTTGTCTTTCCAGGGACGACACTTGCCATGCGTAATAGCAATGTCATGTGGAGGAGGAGAGAGAGGCCACCATCTGCCATGCGTGCGAATCGTCTGCTACATCCTGTGCAAGTTGTTACGCGGGTATGATCGGAAAGGAAGACATGAGAGAATGGATTGACACTTCCACCACTAACTTCATGTTGTCCATTTCTTCGAATAATCGTTAGTTCTTTGCAGCCTGTCCACGTGTTCAGTTACAAAGCTTTCTGCCCTCTTAGACTTTTTGCCTCTCTTCTTTTGGTGAGGCTTTTTTCCAGCACTGCCAACGTCAAGGCCGTAAGTGGACATTTTGGTTACATTTGCCTGCATAGCATTTGAAACTTACCCTTGTGTTCCGCGGCTGCCAATGTGTGATCACAGAGGCTTGAGTGTATTCTGACACCACATGTGGTTTTGTAGACGTTTCCGATACTACCAGTACAGTGTTGTCGTGCTGGAAGCCATCTGTAACTCTTTTCATTTGCAGCAGCCTCCATGCTTTGGCAAACTGATTGGAAAAAATACTCTCTGGGACGCCAGTAATGCCAGACTGCTTACATGATATTGACGATGTAGATGGTGTTTGCGACACTGGGCCACACTCCTTGGCCTTGTTGGTGTAAGCCCTCCTCTCGGGGGGTTCATTTTCTCTACCTTTCTGAGGATATCTTGAGGTGGCTGTACTCATTTGTCAGTCTGCATTCACCCTGATCTAGAATTGCTCCTTCCAACAGTGCATCCTGTTCCTTCACAGACTCTTGGCTTTTGGAAATGAAGGTTACCAAACTGACACGCTTGTGCTCAGTCTTCAGCTTTAAAATGTGGTCTTCTGCTTCGTTGTCATGAATGGAATACAACAAGTCTCCTAGTCAAGCCCTCTGGTGGAGGGGCTTTAGCATAGAAGTTATGATCGTGTCAGAGACATTCCCCACAAACCAGTCATAGAGTGCTGGTTCTTGGTTGGTGATTTCCCTTTCGCGGTCATTCCAAACGTTTTCCAGAGAGCAAAACTTTGCGTTAAAATCATCTGCTTCATTGGAATCTACAATTCCATGGTATGAGATGGCAGCGACACTTTTTCCAAATATTTCACACAGGAATTAATTTTGATCCTATCCAAGGATACCTAGACTAGACATCTTCATCTCGATGTTCTTTCGAAGATGGATAAAGCATCTATGATGGTCAACCTCCGGAAACTCTTCTCTAAATGCATTGGTCACGCACGTTCACCATCCGTCCCAAACGCATTGAGTTGTACAATTTGTGGATTGAAATGCTTCATCGCTGAACCTAGATACCTGTAAGTCTGTTCAGTTTTACTTTGATGAACAAGAAAGGGTCCAAGAAAAACAGGATGCTTACCAGTTCTCACGTCCACGCCAAGAATGGAAAATGAGCCCACTTGGGCACTGTACAACTCGATGTCTTTCAATTGCCGGTCAGAGGCAAGAAAGGCTATAGGTTCTGGAGCACCAACAACTTCTCTAACGAAACTATCTTTGCTCTTGTACTTATCCATCGCCTCTAGCAAGATATCTCTTCTTTGCTTGGTGGAAGGTTGAAAGGAGGTTGTAGACGAAGCTAATGCGTTACTAACTTGTTTCGCATTTCGCGGCAGCTCACTTTTAGAACGACAGAATTCCAACCCCCCTTTTCGACGAACTGATTCGAAAAAGACTTCCCTGGGTTGCCATTTCCTTGATGATACAGTTTCCCTCAGTTCTTGAATGGTGCTTGTCTCGCTTGTACATAGGGTTCGTTGCTGTTTTTAGAGTTTCCATGCGGTTTAAGTTTCAGTTGCACTTCCTCCTCTTCATAATAGTACTGAAGTAAAACAAGTCGGTGCCTTTGCCAGTTGCTGTCGCACAAGAAGGATTATGGGGTATTTAGTATTCAGCTTCCTTGTCATGATGATGATAGTGCTTGACAACCATTATGAAGTCGGCGTCGTTTCTCTTTTGCCTCGTTATCTTCATTTCCAAGATATCCCCACTCACGTTGCGGTCGACGGAAATGTAGCTTTTCAGAGAACGAGTATGATACTTGCCAAGATCGTCAGCTTTACAATCATGCGGATGGACAAGGGCGTCTAAATCAACCAAAAAGGAGGTGTTTTCCATAACCTGAAATGGCACTTTGGTACAGACAGGCTCTTTTACTCTCATCAAAATGTCGACAACCTCTTCACTTGAATATGCAGAGCTTCTTCCTTTCTCTTGGTATGGGATACGCTTGTCGTCTTCGTAATCCTTGTTAGATTCCTAGAAAGAGAACATCAACATATCACATCTTGCATAGCAAAGGTTCCAAAACCGCGCCAAGCAACGGAAAGCCCACAAGGTAAAAGCAAAACGAAAATCGATGTATACTGCCATTTCAGTCAGACAATACGCATGAAAACTGTTGATAAATAGTGATACGAAATGCCCAACAAACTGGTGGAAATTGACACAGTCTGTTATTTAATTTACTGGATGGTAGTGAATTTTAACGCACCTTTTTGAGCTTTGAAAAAGTGCTCACAATGGAAATATTTTAATCACACAAAAATCATGATGGGAGCGATTATAAGTAAAAACCCAATTCTTGGAGAAGTAATGAAATAATTAACCAAAACTTTCTGGACACTAAAGAAAAGCTAAATACACTTCTTGCTGTTACTTTGCCTCGATATTCCATCAAGAAAGGAGAGTTCTGCTTTCAGTCAAAATACATTTACATTTCAGTTTCATTACTACTGGTGATTTCGCTTTCGTGACTACTGGTGATGATACTTTCACCATTACTGTCAACCATCTCCATGAAGTCTACTTTATATTCTGTTGCTACAGTGCCCTCTTTGCCCTCAAAACATATTGCTCTGCACACAAAGCCAAACTCCTCCACTTTTCTTTTCTTGCAACAAGAATAAAAGGTTTATTTAATCTAGTGAAACCCTGTTAAAGGATTCTAACAACCAGCCATCAAGTAACTGTTGTTGTAGGAGTCAACAATAGAACAAATTGTACACAAACAATAAACCCTGTCATGAAAGCCAACTGTAGCAGCCACAGTTGAGGACAAATGTTTAACTGCTTTCGAGTTTTTACACTACTCAGAAAACGGACGAAATAAGGCTAGAAACATTGTGTCAATGTCAGCAGCTCTAGTCTAGCTTCCTCCATAGGTATCAATCAATAATGGTTTGCAAGAACACCCAGCTTTCCTGTTACTATGTGTCAATTTTTTCTGTCATGTTCTCCTAACATCACATGTTAGGAGTTGGTGAGTACTCATATCATTTTAATGTAATGTACATGCCTAGCATGCCCCTTATGTCTTTTAGCATCTAGTGACTGAACTGGGCTGCTATCAACCTATTAAAGTAAAATAGAATATCGAGCCATAAACAAATGTATCCGATACATGCGTGCACAAACAAACTCTAACAACATTTGGGATTTATCCAACCGTGATGCTAATATTATAAGGAAAAATGCAATGCTTAAGAAAGAACACTAAACACTCACGATATTTCAATAAGCTATGAACACACACCTTTTGAGAAATGGATGAAGTTTATTTCAATGCCAAATCACCTTCACTTTGCCTGATAACACTGGAGAAAAAATGAGGAGAAATGAGAATGGGAACAATAGAACTCTAATAAGTCCTGATAACTTTGTAAATCACTGAGAAAAATCTTTAAGGCAAAGAGAGCTGGAAGCTACGGCTTGTGAGGTTATACTGCATTGCACATTTGGGAAATAGTTTTAGTGTATGGAAACAAAATGGTTTTATGGTTTATTAACTTGTCCTACATACCTTCTACTTCTCTTAAAGTACCAACCATTTTAATTTTAGTAATGGTACTGCCATTCTGTAAAGCAAGAATTTGATGTTGTAAGGTTATTTAATCTGGGTTGAGAACATTATTATGAATTCTCTTGGGGGAAGAGAGGGCACATGGGATAGTCACTAAGGCTAGTTATTCACATTCCTAATTTCATAGCAGTGAAGATAAATGAACTGCACTGGCACTTTACCTTTTAATGCTTTCTTATATAATTGTTCACAGCTACAATATGTTACATGTCCATAACTCATACTAATGCACTGGCATGCTAAGTTAAGTGAGAAATAATTGAGCTACGCCCACAAAAGACAACTTGAGTTTATTTTAAAATTTTTCAAAAGCTCCATCAAAAGTTTCAATAGCCAGTCCACTCCTGCAATAATCTGTTTCTTGCATCTGTATCTCCATTTTTTAGACATGCTCAAACCTTTTTTCTTTTAATTGATTTCCTGGTAATTTCAGTCTACATCAATTTTTCATATCATAACATTTATTATGCGTAAGCGTTTTTTACATGAATTATATGCTAGCCAGTAAATCCTGTAAACTAAAATTATCCAAAAGAAAACAAACTGCATGAACATGGACATGCAAGAGCTTAAATATGTGGCTATTTTTTGGAATAAACACTTTCAACACATTGAAAAGCTTGTTACCTGATTGAAATGATCCTGTGTCACATTTGACATTGATCTAAAAACATTCAAGCATGTTGTAAACAAGAGAAATTTACATCGATTTGTGAACATTTTTGGGACTCTCCGTACTGTTATAACCCATGAGCAGTACCTAGAGTCCAATTAACAACACTGCAAAAGATTCTAATTCTCAGTAGTTGTGATAATATGAAAGGGTTTCTTTGATTTGGTTATCTTTATGTAATCTATATTGATTTGCATATAATTTAATATGGTGATAGAATTGATATTAATCATCGGTTTTCTATAACCATTGATGTGTGGTAATACATTGTTTATCTTTTCAAAGACTGATATTGCCTTATTTCTGTTCCTTGTTGTTATTATCATGTCATACTTTTTGGTTAGATTAAATACTACCCTATTAAGAAAGAATTTCCTGAAAGAAATTGATCTTCCTGTTATTTTACACTTGTTATCATGGAAGCTACAAAACTCTTTCATTAGCTCATAGCCATCTACTTGCCCACAATTGGTGCACACAATCACATGGTCTTCATTCTCCAAGCACTGTTTCTCCCAACATTTTTCTACCATGACTGATCGTTCCTTTACTTGCTTATAACAACAAATGACTCCTTCCAATTCAACATGAATTATTTTATGGCAATACATTATGATATTGCATAGATATTATATGTTTAAATATTATTAGTGGTTATACTTGGTTTCCTTAAAATACATTTCATATTACATAATTCCTCTTCTACTTCTAATATGTTGCCCTCATTAAAATATCTTGTATATCTTGTCTAAATATGTATATGATCTTGGTCATCTATCGTCATGAATATCACTTGTATCTGAATAATCGACTTGACTATCACACATAACCGCTATCTTGACTTCTATGATAACTACTGTCATCTGAATATATTTCTTGGGATTCCATGCATACCCATACATTTGATGAAAATGAAAGAATTTCCAAGAATGATAATAGCATATAGATTTTAAGGAATAATAGGTATTATAGGAAAAAGCCATTGCAAAATTACCACGCAATAATAACACAGAATCACTGATATCTAGTGAATATGCGTTAAAAACACCAAGTACTATACCACTATCTTAACTAGTTAAACCACTTAGCTAGATTGTGAAGTTTGGGCAATGGAATTGTTTTAGCTAGTTATGCATTTTGTGCAGTTGAACCATTTCAACTACTTAAACTAATTAAGAAAGATTTTGCAATCTGTGCAGTTTACCCGTCCTCCCTGGTTGAACTATTTTACAAGTCCAATCAATTAAAATAGTTGACTATGTTAAATACTTCAAGGAACTAAGCAAGAATGTGCAGTTTGTACCGTTTATTCATTGAGGTGGATTTGACAACTTAAATTACTCCAACCAGTTGAGAGGGATTGTGCAATTTTTATTAGTTTACCTTTGACTATTAAACCACTTGAACCATTTCAGTTATATTGTGCACATTGTGCAGTTGAACTGATTCAGCTACTTATGCTTAACTAGCTTACCCATAACTATCTTCGCTGGATGAACTATTTTACTAGTTAGCAAGACTATCAAAAACTGCTAAACTACACTAATTGCACAATCTATCTCGACTGGTTGAACGAGTTCAAATGGTCAAACTAGCTTAAATTATTTAAGGGGAAAAAATGCCTAACTAGCTTAATAGGTTCAACTGCACCAAATTCTCAATGTAGTTGAATTTGTTGAACTGGGTAAATAATCAAACTAGCAAAAACTGTAAGAGTGCACAAATTGCACTATCTATATCAAATGGTCAATGTGGTTCAAATGGTCAGACTAGGTTAACTGATTCAACCAGGCAAAATGCAAACTAGCTTGATAGGATCAACTGCACAATCAAGATTAATTGGTTATACTTGTTAAATAGTCAAAGTAGCTAAGACAGTTTAACTACACAAATTGCATGATCTATCTTATTTGATAAACGTTGTTCAAATGGCCATACTAGCTTCAATGGTTCAACTGGACAAAATTCAGATTGGATGGTTCAACAGGTTAAATAGTAAAATAAGGAAAGACAGTAAACGTACTTAAAGAGGTGCAATGGAAAAACTGCCTTCAATTGTTGAGGTGCACAAACGGAAAAATGGTACCCAGTTTCTTTAAGAAGTTAAATGATCAAAGAGGCTTAATTAGTTCAACCAGTCAAATAGTCTAACCGGCGAAGACAGTTATATGCATAAATTGTCCAATGTTTATTCATTGAAGTAGTTCAATGCTGGATCGAACTGGCTAAAATGGTTCAACTGTGCAAAATGCACATCTACCTTAATAAGTTCTACTGCACAAACTGCAAAAGCCAACTGAATTAGTTCAAATTGTTAAAATACAGTAATATGCCTATTACTTTGATGACCAGGATAATATACATATTTATACAAAATAAACAAGAGATTTGAATGAGGGTAATATATTTGAAGCAGAAGAAGAACTGCATAACATGAACTATAATTTAAGGCAACCAAGGATAACTCCTGATAATATTTAAACATATAATATCTATGTAATATCATAATATAATGTATTATAGAAAAATAATTCATGATGAATTGGATGAAATAATTCGTTGTTACCCTTCCAAATATTGTGTACCACCTATTATTAAACAAGATGATGGCAAATTAAATAACAGAATTACTTTCTTGAACCTCACATGGGCTTTTTTACACAACCAAAGCTTCTTATGGTAGTATTTGTATAATTATGTTATTTCATTTATTATCACTCCTCTTGTTGAGGCTCATATGTAATCCGTTTATATTAATCAGATGTTTCTTGTCATTAGCTGAGCGTAAAGCCCACCATCGAGAGTGCCATTATCTACACCGAATGATATGGAATAACCAGTAAATGTTGCAGATATTCTAAGAAATGTAACATCTATCCATTCATTGTTTCTATTTTGTGTGAATACAGTGTATCACTTACTAATGGATCCGGAAGTATCATATGCTTTATAGAAGAAATGTGTTGCAGGCCCCTTGAAATCATATCTTTAATGAAATTCATATGTTCCATCCATATCAAACGTTAATTTGTCACTATATACTGTGAAATGTATGTCATTGGAGACTCCATATATTGATCTTGATTTTAAGAATTTGGTTTCCTTTTCATCATCATGTGCCATTTCATAATTAAAAAAGTATACAGATGCAAATACCAATGTTGCCCCTTGTTTGACACCATCCACGTATGATTTTTTTTCAGCATCATCACCATTTGTTGGTGTAGCTAAATCGATTATTTCTCTTATTACACCCATTTTGAAA